GGACGGTTATATTTTTAAAGATATGGATAATGATGAATATGGTGTTCTTGCACCTAATGTATGGAAAGAACTTTTTAAAATGTTTGAACTCAAACAAATAATGAGACAGAGAGAAAGCAAAGAGTTTGCTGAATTATTGAATAGATTAAGAGAAGGTAATCAAACTAAAGAAGACATTGCAAAATTAAAGAATAGGTGTATTTCTGAAACTAGCGCAAACTATCCAAAAGATGCTCCACATTTATTCATTCAAAATGCAAAAGTGAATAATTTCAATGACAAAGCTCACAATGCATTATCAGGTACCAAATATTCTATTAAAGCTCATGATACTGTAGTTGGAGCTGAGACAGAGGAACTTAGAGATAAAATACTAAAACAAGTACCTAGTGATCCAAGAAAAACTAAACAGTTGCATTCTGTACTACATGTAGCAGTAGGAGAAAGAACAGAGATATCACTCAATACTAGAACAGATGATGGTATGACTAATGGTGCTGGTAATGTAATCAAACTAATACAAATACATAGTATTGATAAACCATCTGGTATCATATGGGTACAGTTTGACCATCCTGATGTTGGTCAAAAGACAAGGCATGATAATAGACAGCTATATATCAATGGTATTGAACCAACATGGACACCAATTAAACCAAAAACCACTCAGTTTGCTATAGGTAGAACAAGATCTGTACAAGKTGTACGAAAACAATTTCCATTACGACCTGCTGCTGCAAAAACTATACATAGATCACAAGGTGATACTGAAACAAAGGTTGTAGTTAATTTTGAAACAAGAAGAGCAATTCCTCACATACACTATGTAGGGTTGAGTAGAGTAACAACTATTGATGGTCTTTATGTCACAGATCTCTGTGAAGACAAAATAGCTGTAAGTAATGATGTCCAAGAAGAAATGCATCGTTTAAGAACTGAAGGGCAGTTAACTCTTTCTGTTAACCCAGTATATTGTACACCTCAAAATACTCTGAAAATCTGTTATCTTAATGCAAGATCATTACACAAGCACATCAAGGATATTTGCACAGATGTGAATTATACAAATACAGATGTTAATATTTTTGCAGAAACAAGATTTTTGGAACATGACAATAATGATTTATATTTGATGACTGATGACAAATATAGCTTGTTCAGAAATGATTCTCCAAGACATCAACAAAATATTCGCCCCTTTGGAGGCACAGCAGTTTACAGTCGTCTAGACTATTATCCTGGCTACCCATATTGTGATAACAGAAATGGTGTAGAAATTACAATATTAAGATTCATGGTTATTCCTCATATAACAATTGTTGGAATCTATAGATCACACTCTGGATCAATAGAGGGCATGTGCACTACACTCAAAGATATTGTTGAATCGTTACAAACTAAGCTTAATATTTTTATTGGAGATTTCAATGCAAATTGGTTTAATGATTCTAAGCGAAAGGTACTCTATGATTTCTTCATCAGAGACAATGGTTATAGACAGTTAGTTACATGCAGCACTACAGATAGTAATACTTGTATTGATCATATATATTCCAACTTGCCAGAATCACAAGTAGCATTTCAAGTTTTGGAGACCTATTTTTCTGATCATAAAGCAGTTTGTGCATTGTTAAATTGCTTTTGAATGTAAATATTGAATGCAAGATGGTATGATTATTTATTATTTTGTCATAACAGAACAAGATTCACATCAAACTACTTTTTGCTTTGTTAATTAACTTTGAATACTGAAGTTCAATCAGATTAATTACAGCTGAATAGAAAAATATATTAATATTTTAAAATACAGGATTCTATCACTCTTCAAAAGCAGTGTCATCACCATATATATATTTGGATTCATAATGATTGCACATATTACAATAACAGTCACTAGTGTTGGACGAWATACAAATGCACAGACCACAAGACAATAAATATGTTTTGATTTGTTCTCAAAAGCAAACATTGCCAGTTTATTCAATTCAATCTCTTATAGATGGAACAGGCCATTAATGTGTAAGACTATTAGCTATTTGAGTACTTACATTGTTAATGCTAATTGGAATTTTAGTTACAAATAACCAAGACCTTAGAACATGACATCACAGGAATCTACCTCGTCACAAGAACGTAAGTATCAAAGCATAATAGTTCTTATCACCCTTGTAAACATTTTTGTAATTATTTCTCATTTTCGTATCAATGTTTTTTTTCTTTTTCAGCTTCAAGCACTATCTCTGGCTATATACACCAGTTATCACCCGTAAAGAATGCAAATAACAAACAAAAAACAKCATATTTTAACTTTACTATCCAAACCTCKAGTGACACACAACAGCGTGCGGTCTGTTACCATCCAGATAAAAGAAATGAGATATTCAACTTCCAACAGCAACGGGCTCCTGTGGCTTTTAAAGACGGTCAATTAACTCCAAACAAAAGAAACGCTTCACAGATGGACTTTTCAGTCAGGAAAAAGACCAAACTACAGGCAACAGTTGTCGACTTCGACTTTGATGGGTCATTTGATTCCAAGCTGGCACCCCTATCCTCAATAGCTTCATTTATGCCATTCCACCAGCTTGATGTAAAAGTAAAGGTGGTGTCAAAGACCGAGGAAAAGCAGAAAATTATTGTGCGAGATCATCCTTGCTTCAAAACTGATTGCATGATCTTTGATGGGACTGACTCTATAAGACTTGAACTATGGGAATCAGCAATTGACAAAGTAGCAAGAGGAAAATGTTATTACATTCAGAACATTAAAGTCAAGATCTTCAATGATACTAAGTATCTTTGCACCAATGAATACACAGTCATCGAAGAAATTGAAAGTGACACAATTCCAGATCTCAACTTGTCATCAGAATCTTTTCAAGATTGCATTATAGAAGGAAAGGTTATTGGGATTGACATTAACCGCACCCCATCCTGCCCTTTATGCAACGCCAGGAACGATCAGCTTCCTGATGACGAAATGATTGATTGTAGAKGGTGTGAGTCAACCTTCCTGGTTGACCAGATTAAAACCAAACTCGTTTCAAGATTGTCGCTTCAAGTTGACCAGAAAATTATTATCTATTCTGCGTTCAACGATGCCTTACAAAGCTTTCTTGTTCTGCAAAATGTAACCACCAAGCTTGCTGACATGACAGACAAAGATATCAAAAAACATTTTCTAAAAGCATCTCAAGTCAAGTTGCTGGTAGATCAGTCTACCAAGGTGATAAGTCAGTTCCTTTAAACTTTGACTTAGATTATAAAGAACTTTATTTCAAAAGTGTTACATAATTAGTAAAAAAGACATTATACAAAATTCTGTTCACAAAGTTAATGTTCACATTTGATATATTATTGTTCATTGAATATATATCAAAATACAGCAATATACAGAAATTCTTACCCCTTTGACTCATATTTCAAGGATATATAAAATATATCAGAAATTATGGGATATCATTGCTGATATTTTTTTCAGATAGTACTGGTCCTATGCAAACCCAAAAGAATATCAGTTACCATATCCCATAATTTCTGATATATTTTATATATAGTTGAAATATGAGTCAAGGGGGTCATAATTTCTGAATATTGCTGTACATATATAATATAATCTAATTATGCTGCCATTATAAAAATTACAAGAATATACAAAATATATACAAAATACTACTTAAATTACAGAAAAAAAGTTTGATTAATTGAGTGCCTTAACATAATTATTTTTATGAATGCTTGAGATTGCTAGAAATGCTTTTGAATATATCACATAATTTCTATATGAACTTTGATATGTATCTCAAATTCTCATAATTGTCGAAAAGGGGTGTATATTCGGGAGTAGAATTTGTGTGTTTAGGTGTATATGACAATGTTGTTACATATTTAGTACAACGACATAGACAAGAAATTAAGTTTCAATGTTCTCATTTGATATATTGTTATAATATTGTTTATTAGTATATCAGCACTATTATATGATGTAATATTATGCTGCCATTAAAAGGTTTGTCTACTATTTTGTTTGATACAGTTTTCAATGAATTCAAACTTGTTTGTTCTCTTATACTATACATGTATTTATATTAGACTGCACATTCAGATTATTTCTTTTTTCTTTCTTTTTCTTTTGCTATAATGCACAATTCTCAAAATTTGATTGCACTAGCCACATGCAGTCCTTGACTGCGTATTTTTTTCTGAAGTACAAGAATAACATATACATTGAGCTACCAAGCAACACAAATAACTAAAAGTCATTCATACTGTGGAATAAATAAGAAGAAAACACAGTACCTTCGGACTCCATCCTTTGTTATCTCCAGCTAGCGGTGCGAAGAGATCGATGCTGCAACGTCACGTGACCAAAAGTAGGGTCACACGACTAAAAACGCGGGAAAACACGATATACTGTTCGTAATATTATAAAATCATCTTTCTATTAAAATTGTTATAGTGTGAAGTTTATCTTAGACAATCATAGAAGAATTTAATAGATTTTTAATTATTTTTGTCAATCCCTGGCTCGGATCCTTGGCTTGAATCCTGGCTGGGATCCTTGGCTCGGATCCTGCCTAGGGAAATAGGTACCCTCGTATTTCCGATGCCATTACACAAATCTCTTGTCTAGTTGATTGTTGTGGACTAGTATCATGAAAATTGATAATAACGTAGTGTACAATGCTTTTCGAAGTGCTATTTCTGTGAACCAGTTTAACGGTTGGATAACTTTTCATTTTGATTCTATTTTTGTGGTACTTCAGCTGTATAGAGTAGAGAAAAATGAAAATTTCAACATTTCATAACTGCCTTTGAAGTTATCGAAATTATTAATTAATATTTCTTTTTGAACGAGCATGTTGAAATGTATTCAAGGCTAGTTGAAGTGCGAAACGTATTTGGCGAACCCAAACATCAAATATTGTCTATAATTAGAAATACAATCGTATGATAAAGTAGCTGATCCCATTAAAGAGTGCTCAATACACATGAGTGTAGAGCTAGTTATATATACGATATCAAAGAGGCAAGATTTTGCTGTAACTCCGAGTTTCGCGCTACGCACTCATCAAACAGTATTTAAATAAATAATAAATACTGTCTGATGAGTGCGTAGCACGAAACTCGGAGTTACAGCAAAATCTTAAATACTGTCTGATGAGTGCGTAGCACGAAACTCGGAGTTACAGCAAAATCTTGCCTCTTTGATATCATATATATAATTAGAAATACACGTAAAAACGAGACACGTGCACGAGTAATAAAACATTTAAACAAGATAAGTACGCTCCATACGTCATATTTTTATAATAATCTCCTTGGACGTAGCTATAACTGTTTTGTTGGTCTAATTTGTCTACTCTTAATAAAGCTAAGTGCTTTAGTTGGTGAACCCCTGCCCTGGAACACTTTTATAGTGGCCTTTGGGAGAAAATCTACAGTGAAGCGGAAAGCTCGAACCCACGAGTTCTCTAAATAGATTACTAAAGARTAAGTGTGTGCTGCGTTTTAAAATATATCAAGTGTTTTATTGGGTGTAGGAATAGTAACAGGCACGTTATCCAAGAATATCTTGATTCGCCGCAAATGTTATACCATAATCATGACTTTCTATGTTTTCTGTTTTCAACAAGCTATCACAGTTCCCGCTGTTTTTCTTTTGCCTGGAAAGATTTTGACCAAAAATCCTACCTTCGCACTAGAAAATCGTCGTGCGATGACAGATTCAGTTGGATTAAGACACCGTTTTGTACATTTTGTACAAAACTTTCAAAACTGCCTGGTGCGACCCGGTCGATATTAAAAAAAACCGTCGCTGCTTCAATTCAAGTCGATGGTCAGCTCGATGCATAGTATATGTAGTAGTTTGCAAGTATGCAAGCAAATATTTAGAAATGATGTTGACTAGCGGGTACAAAAGCGCCTAACTTCTACAACAAGAAGTAAATCAAAAACTAATAAATTCTAGTCAATGATTTGGTCCTATTTGAAAGACAACAGCCTTGCTTTGAGCTCGTGATAGAATTTTCATTTACTCCTTTACAATCAAAATCTATTGAGCAATGGTTGAGCAACTACGCGGAGTGTTCACTAACCCTAAAACGAAAGAAACATTGGCTGTCAATCATACATGCCACGAAAAGATCAAGGACATTGTTACAACTGCAAACAACAAAATTTATTAGTCAAAAGTAATGATCAACATCAGCTTATTTTATTATTTCTTTATCGCTACAAGCACTTTCGTTACTCCTTCGTCCCGCCTTGGTCAAACCTAATTTCAACCTGTTTAGAGCAAGATCAATTCAGCCTGTTTAAACTGTCTCAAAATTGTATTCGCGCTACATTCCCTCCAAGCCCTTCCTGTTGTTGCTGTAGTGGAATCTACTGACTTAGACCAAACGGTGGGCTTTCTTAAGCCGTCAATCATCTGGCGTTACCTTTTAGTATGTTAAAACATTCTTAACACTGTTCGACCTTAAGTGGGTCAACATATCTGTTGACAGTGCTGTTGACAAAAACTGGAAACTTTTTATGGACATTTCAAAAAGTTGTCGGATGTTCGACCGCGGCCTTTCCTCGCATAGTTTTGTAAGAGTCATAATCCAATTTGTGATATCTTGTCTGGAATCAAGACGCTAATTGGATAATTGCGTAGAACAGTGCATAGCTAACTATACGCGTTCCCGTTGCAATCATTGATGTAGTCGCAAATCATAATGAAGATTTTTTTCACCGAAAAAGATAATGCAGCGGTTGGAAAAAGAGTTCGAGCAGTTGGTATGTGCTACTTTTCTGGAAATGATCTGTCAGTGGGGAAAGTATATACTTTGAAAAGGAACAAGGCCAACAAAAACGATACAAATTGCCTGGAAATACGAGAAGTAGTCAGACCAAGAGCAGTCATTAATAGAGAGATCGCAAAGCTGATTTCGCCTTTACTCGACAATGGAAAACTGCATAACGCTGATTGGTAAGATAATTGTTGTACGATATGCATAGTTATGTTACGTTTAATGCTTTTTTTAAGTTTTTGATCATTTTGAAAACGTTTATTCGTTAAATACTGTAACTAATTGCGTTACATTGATYTACAGTGAAGTTATCGAAGAAGCAAAGTGGTCAAGGGGTGACACCCGAACACCAGCAAGAGCGCACAAGGTTAAAGTAGGGATTACTTTTACCGATAAAGCTGATCCAGAAATACAAAGACTTCTTGAATTGTTGAAGAAAGAATATAAACAAGAAAGCTGATCTCTGAACATTGACAATGTACTTATTTACCAGTAACAAGGTCTAACAACATTCTTCAGTTGACAGGGAAAATAGTTTCAAACGTGTATTATTCCAATTATTATAATTCTAATAGATTGATTTTATTCAGCGAAACTTCACTGTATGTTTAATGTTTTTGTGACAGAATTAATAAAGCTCGTTTACTTGGAAGTAAGCTTATTCTGCGAGTCAGTTTTCTAATAGTTGAATTCTTAGCACCCCGAACAAAAGTCATTATGGAAATGTTTAAACACTCACCTATACCTCAAGTGGAGTCCAACAACTTTGGTTCTCCTACTGCACAATTTGCCCAAGACTTCCCAGTCAAAGCGCAAACTGCCGCTACAAAAAGTAAAAAAAAAAAAATTATCGGCATTCCACTGAGAAAGTGGAATGTGAATTCTGAATGAATTCTATAAGGATCAAATAAACAAAGCAGTGATTATATCATTAGTAGCCAGTAACCTACTGCTTTATCACAATAAACCTGTTTTATAATTTATGTTCTAAGTATTTTAAAAAAGCAGTCGTTTCAAAAAGTCTTCAAATTTCGTCAAGGTATAAATACTTAGAGTTAGGCACAAAAACTGTACATGATGGTGGCGTTTCCTTGAATATGTACTAAACGTACACAAGAAAAATCGATTTCAGTGAACAAATTTCCAGTTAAATAGTACAGATCAGTGGAATAAATCAATTTGCTTGAGTGATAAGAGGTGTATTTCTAAATGATTTGAGAAACACAAAGCTGTAATTGGTGTGTTTATAAATTCTTACCTAAAAATGCTTCAAACAATGAAGAAGAATACTCAATTTTTTAAACTCACTAAAAACCATCAGCCACGTGCCATAAGGGCGGTTGCCGGAATGGACAGATTGCGCTCTCGGGGGCTCATTCCATAGCGCAAAGCCGTATGGGTAAATATTTCAAGTCTACATCGTCACCCAGCCTTGGTTAGAGGTACGGTATATTTATCCTAACAAGAAAAAGCCCAGGGAGGGGAGGGTTCCTTGTAATTTATTTTCAGCAGGGAGGGGAGGGTTCCCAGCAATTTATTGTCAGGAAATAAATTGACAGCTAGGAAAGGTATACGTGAGACCTAATTAGCCAGCTAAAGAGGTCATGGTCTTAAACTCTTAGCCAGGCTAAAAATCAATTCAATTTTCCTAGCCAGGAAAGAAAACCCCTGGGGAGCAGATATTTGTGTATCGGATCCGGTTGAGCACTCTTGTTCCTTGTTGCCTCTATTGGAAGGAGTGGGACATGCCAAAGAGGCATGTCCCCTCCCCCCACAATTATTGCATGTGCTGGCATCTACAACAGAAAAATAGTAATAAATTGACCATTCTGCTTTGGATGAGAATATCAGTTGAACTGTACCTCTGACGTTGATGTTGTCAGGGGAAGGGCACCTACAACAAAAAGCAACAATAACTTCATTTGAAATTGGACGGACAACACATGATTAAGTAAGGAATTTTAGCATACCTGTGAGCGGTGTGCCCCCTCCCCCCGCAAACATAGCACTTTCTTCGTCCTAAAAACATTTAACGTTAGTCAAAGTCTTCACACAGCATACTAACGGTAATATCTTGGCACATCTCCTGGTGAATGTTTTTTTTTTGAAAAAAGAAAAAAGGATCCAGATAAAGATAATGAGGGATGAATTATTCCATAGATATCAATTTTCAACTTACTCGATTCATCAGATGGGTGGCGATATGCCATGACTAAAATGATATAAATATGTTATATACAACTCATGATGACAATAGTTTGGTCAACTTGGAAGTTTACTCTCTGTAACAAAATGTCATAAATTATCAGCTCGTTAAGCTCAATGTACAGCGTCGTTTGACAAAACTATTTTCACACGTTTTTGAAAAATTCGATGAAAACTAACTTTTTAGCTCACAATGTACTGAATTTAAAAAAGATAAATCCATAATTAACGACACATTAAGAGCAATAAAATTAATACTATGCAATTATCATTACAAAAGCTGATAAATTTGTTCAACCTATTTACCTCCTCCTTCCTTTGACACTTCGGCGCACTTCTGGGTTGCCGTGGTCACGCGCGCGCATCGCAAATTTGTTTTCGCGCCAAAAAGTTTTGACCTTTGGGTTGCCTGTGTTGAGAGCAACTTCAATCTTTTTTGTAGACTATTTTATCAGCACTCAGCTTCAAAATATACGTACCTCCTTCACTTCTCAAAACATTCAAGTTCAAATATTATGATGTCCAGAGCAGAAACATTGGCCAGCAGCATATCTAAACTTTTTTATTACTCAATATTCGCACATGAGAGAGAGCAGTGAATACATGTCTCCAGGTTGTCGTTGAAATGCTCATCTTCATTTTATTAGTAAAGCAATACCTGTAGTTTTGTTGTTAGCTGTACTCGGACAAAAGTTGCAAAACATTAGAAAATATCTGGAAATCAAATAGACATAATCATATGGGTCTATTAATGATCATGAAGCAACAGATTTCAAGAAAATATACTAAAAGTCTATCCTTAATGATAATTTGGGCAAACAAATGTTGGATTAATTTATGGCGTCATTTATTCCATCTTTTGAATCAAAGTATCCCTTAATATGTGGGATAATTCCAAAAACAAATACTTCAAATATTCAAATACTTGTATTTAATGGATAAACATTTCTGATGATGACTACTAGTCAAAAACGTTAAATTTCTTTTTTCTTATTGTAAATATCCTTATTTTTATTGTATATAATTTGTACAGCATATTATGTCACAGATAAATCTATTTGTCATATATGTGTATTGGTATGAAGGGCATTTTCATGCAAGCATTGAGACACATGTATCATGCGTTTGAGAAATAAACTATTTTTATTATTAAATGGCACTTTATTTTTCTATCTTTATATAAGCTGTACAGTCAGGTTCATTGTTCGAAAGGCAACACTAAATCGATAGATTTACTACAAATAAAGACATATCGTGCTCACACAATGCACAATCCCCATTTAGTTATACATCTGGTTTTATCATTATAATTCATGTTAATACATTTTCTCCACTTTAGTAATAGAGCGTGTCAACTATTTTGTTATGAATTTTATAAGCCATCAATGGGACGAATTTGGCTGCTAAGGAAAATCATTTCAACAGTTTTGCAGTATATTTTTTATGCAGAATCCAAGATTCAACATTTATAGTCTATTTATAAAACTATAAAAGACAACATGTAAATCGTTCTTTGAAATGCTATATTTTGTTTCCATCTAATTGATTCTCGCTCACATTACACATTACAACATACTGACAGAAATCCAAATAAGAACAACATATTAAAAGAATGTCTGAAGCATCTGGAATATACAATTCAAAATATTTTAATATTTAAAAGTACATTTTCCTTTTTGACGGTTTTCTTGATGTCCTTATGTTCATGTGATGTACAGACAGGATGATGTTTGAGCTTTAGTAAAGCATACATGGAGTTCTCTCTTTGTGCATCAAAGAACTGCAAAAATATTAACAAACTAATAAATAATGTAAAACATTTTCTTTGCATATTATAAAATTTGTTGCACCTACAGAGTCTTCTGCAGAAACTAAATAACTGTCAAGAAGGTTTCTGTAAAAGCCAGAGTTGACTGTAGTTTTAAGACCATACCTGTTTTCTACCTTGCAAGATAGAACTGTGAAGGCTGCTACTAAAAGAGCACAAAATTCAAAAAGATTAGAATTGTACTGCAAATATACACAAATATATTATGCATGACTAATGACATAATTTATTAGGTCACACAGACCTGTCTAGGTCACACAGACCTGTCTAGGTCACACAGACCTCTCTAGGCTACATTGGCCTTTTAGCTTTTCATCTGAATGTTAGAACCAGCAAATTATGTCCTTTAACCATATCTGTATCATGATTATAGTRTTCTGAAASGTTTAAGTTAAAAGAGTTGGAACTTTGTTGGTCCAAGTTATGGTTAGTGTGTCATTATTTGCTAGTAACAACATAACGTAATCACTGTGCACCAATACCAATTGGCAAAAAACATAACTTTCATTCAATAACAACTCGAAATTTAGTAATTATTACAAAGTACAAGTCCTAAAAGTGTGGAATAAAATTTGTATTTTGCTGTATAAAACGTTTTTATCAAAATAATTTTTGTTGTAAATTACASACTTTTAGTTTTTGCACTTAAAGTCATCATCATGCCTACAATGACCACTAAGTGATGTTCATATATGAAGTATATTTATGGGAAATTAAATTCCAACCATGTGACCGTACATGAAATTTCAACTGGATTGCCATGATATTTTTGGAATGAGTTTTGATACCACTGCACTAAAGCACTTGCATCTTGTGTTGGCCCACAGATTGCAGCTCCAAAAGGAGCATGTGAATGACTAACAACTAGAATCAATTCTCCTGCAGTAGAACAAAGAACTGCCATTGTGATTTCTTGAGTAATCAGCAAACATCCTCTTGTGATCCTTTCATTCACACATTGAGACAGCAAACCCACAACTGGACACAAATCTTGATTTGTATTGTTGCAGACATTTTCATCATATGATGATAGTYGGAGTTCTTCTGAACATTTCTTAAATGCATCTTCTACATCAARAGGTATATTTTGACCATGGTGCAATGAATCATGGAGTGAATTCCCAGCCGTAATGCAGTCCACTAGCATAGATCCCCAAACTTCAGGTAAAACTGCATTGAAGTTGGCAAGTCATGCTTCACAAAATAATTGCAAACATAATTGGCAATCAAAGTACATGCATAGCTACCATTTCTTCCCTCCAATGTGGATTGTGAAATGTCAGAAGGAAAAAAGAATCCATGTAGGCCAGCCGGCAGACTTTCCCGAAACACGCATGCATTGTGAACATTATCTGACATAACATCCCTTGTTACGGGAGCATCAGTTTCCTTTGGTTCTAATAATGGCCTTTTCTTGCTGTCCTTCCTTTGCACTGGTAGATTGTTTGGCTTCTAAAATGCATATCTGTCAACCTTTCCTGTGGTACCCTTAGAGGTTGT